TGGTGTGGATATATTATCGCTTTTGTCAGACATCAATACTTGCCCAATGAGGTCCTTAAGCCATACCAACCTTAAAGCCATTCCCTTTAAACAATTTTCTGATGGTTTTATCCCCAAAATGGAATTCCATGCACCATTACCTAGCTCGGTAGGACCATTTATAGCTTTACCGTTAATGGGAAGCCCTATTAACATACTAACATCTTCCAACATGATTGTGTATTCATTGGTTGGAAGATGAAATGTATGAGTTTCAGGCCTCCCCCGTTCTAGTAACGCTATAATTAATCTTGAATCTATTTGTGTACGTGGTATTTTAGATATGGGAAAGAAACCTGCCTTATGTAAATACGGGATTATGATAGGATATGGTCGGATTGGTTTATGACTTTTAGCTCTAAAACTTGATATATGTATAACTATCAGTAAGCTGTAATAAATAATAATAATATTTAACAATAATAATTATATGAAACATAAATATAAATAATATTGAATAATAATAATTAAAGAAACATAAATAAAAGCAACTTAGAAGATCAATATTTGCTCTTGTTCCTCTATGTTCCGTACCAAATCAAAACAAATTGGACATTATGTGTAAATGAAGAAGAAATAGAATTTGATATTAGAATAGATTGGATAGTGGAGAGTGATTCTGTGAGTGATGAGGTGAGAATGATTGAGTATTTATAGGGAAAATAATGGGTTTGTGAAAAGGTGATAGTAATGAGAGGTGGGCGAAAAATAAATAGTAATAAAGTGATTAGGGTGGAAATTAAATAGTAATAATATGAGTTGGTTGAAAATGTAATGTTAGTTAAATAAGTTTTTTGGTATTTTAAAGACATTGAATGACATAGTTCAATAATATTATTGTAAATATATAGATATTAAATTGGTTTCTTACACAACAATAAAACTTCATCGACTGATCTATTAAATCTAACATACAACTCAAACAGTGTCTTATTAACACCATTTATAAAATCCTTAAACATTTTAGATACATCTGCATTTGTCTCTAATTGTTTTAGTTCTTCCATCAACACCCCATTTTTGTTGAAGTAAGTGCGGTTGAGTGATATATGGAGAATTTTCCTATCAATATATGTCACTTGGCGTAATTGATTTTTCAAGTGACGAAGCTTGAACCTTTCCATAAGTCGTACAATTAAAGGATCTAAAAATGCATTGCGATAATCAGACATATCAACTGGGATATTATACGGAACAATGTATACTGAGCAAAGTAAGAGTACCATTTTGCTGTGAAATTTGCATACATTGTTATTTCTTTTATATCAGTTCACATGCAAATGGACACATACTGAATGTACATGTTGTACACTTATGCTAAATAAGATGGCGGAATTACCCAAGTTATTGTACACTTACACCAAATAAGATGGCTAAATTACCCATGCTGTTGTACACTTATGCGAATTGAGATGGCGTAATTGCCCAGTCTTGTCTTTCACGTGATCTACTTGCACATATTAAACCAATGGAGTTGTTTGGAATGATCATTACACCAACGAATAGTACTACACCCAATTTCAAACAATGGCACAAAATAAAATATCTTGCCTCATCCATTTCAATGGAAGTATTTTGTACATATAATGATATTGGGGCAGTCTTTCAAAATACATATACAAATCTATTAAATGTTCATCGCAAGTGTGATTTAGAGCACTTAACTAAAAAAATAGAAGAATACATGCAACAAAAGTTATCTTCTATTTTTTATTAATATCCAATAGTTGATGGAGTTGATAATGGTGTTACATATAATACTGCGAAAATCGAAGATGATGAAGATGTTAGGTTAATGCTTCAATGTCACTCTAGGTTTGGCAGTGTACATACAATGGAGTTGTATGTTTGTTTTCAAGAGGAACATGATGTTTATCAAAAGCAATCATCTCAAACACATCAATATCAAATAAGCCAGTCCTCCCTACACGAAGAGTCATCCCAAACACAACATAACGAGCCATTTTTTCCAGAGGAGGAGGTTGCTGATGATAGCGACTCTGATGATGCCAAACAACTTATTTTATTTATTGGTTCTAGTGATGATTAGGGTGAGAATGATAGACGTGTGGCAGACCATTCTCACATGCTTGATTTATACAACCCACCGTATCACTTGAGAAATGTTTCCTTAGAGTCTAATGAACTCATATCAGTCTTTGAAACCATAGATGAAGGTCGTGTATGTGGAGTTTTAGAGGTTGGTATGACTTTTGAAAACAAAGAAGGATGTGTCTATGTTATCCGTCAATATCACATTAAAAATTGTTTAGATTATGATGTTTGTAAGTCTGATACGGAACACTTTTTGGTTAAATGTAAAAATAAAGGATGCAGCTTCACATGCAGAGCATCCTTAAGAAAGGGGTGTGGTAAATAGGTTATTGGCTGAATTGGTGGATAACACACTTGCATATCGTCTGCTATATCTCAAGATCACTGCAAGCTTGACTCAAATATCATCTCCTATAGTATCAGAGCTCTTGTCAACAATGACGCTGCAATCAAGGTGAAACATATTATTGCTCATATTCTTACAATTTAAAACTATACCATATCTTACAAAAAGGCGTGGATTGCAAAGAACAGAGCAATTGAATCTATTTATGGAAACTAGGAGGCCTTATACAACGACCTCCAACAATGGTTGTTTTTCATGCAATAGTTTCTTTCTAGAACCGTAATAGAACTTGAAACACTACCTACATATTCAGATGATGGAACATAGATTGGTGGTACAAGAATTTTACATCGCCTTTTTTGGGCATTTCAACCTTGTATCAGGGGTTTCACTTATTGCAAACCAATAGTGCAAATGGCACATGGATGTATGGAAAATGGAGCACATTACTAATGGATGTTGCACAAGATAGGAACAGTAACATTTTCACAATCGCCTTTGTATTGGTTAAAGGTGGGACAGGAGGGGCTTGGAGTTTCTTTTTGTAAAATTTGAGACTGCACGTCACATCTAGTCTGATCTATGTTTGACATCTGACTGACATGAGTCCATAAAGAGTGCATACAATAACCCGAGCAATGTCTGACAGTACCCTCCATCAGTACATGTGTATAACATCAGGCACATCGCATAAAACTTTATGCGAGCGATCAAGGACAAAGACCTTCGCAAGAAAGTTATTAACAAGGGTAATGTATTCTCTATTTTTTAACATTACAAGCTCTTCAACTTTTAAACTCATAATTTTGTATACTAATGCTTTTAATTATGCATATATAAGGTATGCGCTGAATGAGTCTACATATGCATATTATCGGGAGGAGATCCACCAAACAAACATGGAAGTTTAAATTGGATAGATAATCTTCCAAAATAAAAATGGTCGCGAACTTATGACGGAGGAAACCCGAAATTTACCTATTACAGCACTAGTAAGATCAACATATTACAGGATGGGAACATTGTTTGGGAAGCGAAGACATGATTGGACAAAAATGTTGTCATCGGGGAAAATCCACAGATAACTGCATGAAAGGGATTGCAAAAGAAGTAGAAAAGTCCCACAATTATAATATCTTAGATTTTGATCGTGAGAGTAGCTATTTTGTGGTCCAAGAGACAGTTAATGATAACGAGTGTTGGCCACTTGGTTATTTCAACGTCAACCTCCAAAAACAACATGTGGCTGTGGAAAATTTCAAACTTTTCATGTGCCTTGCTCACATGTTATTGTAGCTTATTCTCACATCCAGCTCGATTACTCTATGTTTATCCCTCATGTGTAGAGAGTTCTAAATGTCTTCAAAGTTTAATAATAAAGCTTCATCGGTGTTCCCAAAGAAGATAGATGGCATCAATATCAAGACGATACTATTTTGCATAATAAAAGGATGCGACAAAACAAAAAAGGTCGCCTGAACAATACTCGCATTAGAACTGAAATGGACACTATTGAGAAAAAAAGATAATGTGGGATCTGTCAGCAAACCCATATGCGTAAAAAATGTTCGCATTGGCCCAACATTGCAGGCCCTTCTAACTAGTTACGATTGGTTTTCTGCTATAAATATTAAGTTGTATAAATATTATTATTTAAAATTATGTTTAATAATATTTTTTTAAAATTAGTAATTCGTTTTTTATTATTTATAATTAAGTTTAAAAATTTTATTTTATTTTTTTATTATTTAAAAATAATTCTAATTCATTTTTAACTATTTTAAATTAATTATTAAATTAACATAATAAAAAAACCATTTTAAATTAATATAAAAAATAAAAATATGAAAAAAAATTAATAGTAATTATGCTACGCCAAATGAGATAACGGAAGTCTATTGATCTAAAAAAATATGGGCCCCTTACGCCATTTGAAATGGCGGAAGATCCCAGAAATGTGACATTCTGGGGAAAAAATTAAATTGTGCCATTTGGGAAATTTAATTTCATGGGTGTGGCATTTGGAGAAAAAATTATGTTTTTAAACACAAATGAGCACAAAATTGGAACCTGTTTTCCCTCACAAATGTGCATAAAATCATATAACAAAAGAGATGAACACAAATGTGAACCCAATGATATAACATTATAATTTCTTAAATAGATACGCATTTAACAATAGATGTTCTTTAATTGTCATTACATGTTGAGCCAAAATCCGCACCTAGTGTGTATTACAAAGATGTTCCCAAATGTAGCACATATTGTGCATAACATAGATGTTCCAAAAAAGATGTTTCTTATATTACAATATAAACTACCTAATAATAAGCATTACAGAGTCATTCTCCTTGAAACATCCTCCTATGACCTCATTTTCTTCACACAAGGTTCCTCATCTACTACTAATGGTGCAGCTAAAGTTGAACTTGGCCCAACATTGTTTTTAGATCTCCAAACAGATTTCAACCTATCACTACCCCTCTTAGGTGTCTGTGTATTATTCTTATCAATTTTTTCTTCTTCTCAACTGATTTGGCAACTTGTTTCTTCTTCTCAACTACTTTGGCAACTTGTTCTTCTTCTCAACTGCTTTGGTAATTTGTTTCTTCTTCTTAATTGCTTTGTCAAGTGCTTGGGGAACTAATATGTCAGCTTCTTCTCGTGTCTGCTCATATTGTGCAGCATAAGGTGAGGGATTGGACACTTGATATTGTGGATCTTGGGATGGTTGGCCTTTAAAATATGACATCATCTCTTCAAGTAGTGCATCTAAATTTGGGTCATTTATTTCATGCACACCATCATCAGCATTTGTGTTAGAAACTCCTTCAGTTTGAGTAGCATTTGAAGAGGCTTTGGTCCTTGGTGTTTTCCTCTGCACACAATCAGATTGCAAACATTTTGTCAAACATCAACAATTTGTAAATTAGAATAATACTTAAGAAGCATGAATCATCATCTTTCTTTTCAATGCGTTAGGATTATGTTCTTTGATCAGACATTTTTTTTAATTGTGGCCAAATTTGTCACACTTTGTGCATCTATAAGCTACATCAGGTCTCCTTATCCTTGAACCAGTTTCATCATGTTTTCTAAACCTAGATTTCTTAGGCCTACCTGGGCCCTTCTTATACTGAGGTGGCAACATGTCTTCAACATCCACATTTGGCCACATGTTCATACCATTTATTGGACTAACATTGTTTTCATAACATGTTTTATAAGCTTCCTTCATGTAACATGAATCGACATATAATTCAGGTTTAAATTTTGATACTGCATAGCAGAAAAACATGTCTATAAGGTATCCCCACTAGGTCCCAAAAGAAACATGTACAACTTTTTTCCCAAGATCAACTACAAAGTAAAGTCCATTATATGGATGATGAACTTACCACAACTAACTAAACTGTTAGCAACCTTATACATTAAATAGTTCCTAATCCACTCACGCATTGTCAGAATTGGTTTATCACTAGCTTGTGAAGTTTTACTATTAAATGACTCACTAAGGTTGTTCATTAACACGTCACACTTAGGGTAAAAGCTAACGGAATGCTTACACCATAGTTTGGTAGCCCCCATCAGTAGGTCCCTTATTGTAGCTTCACTACCAAACTTCTTCTTGAAATTGGCATACAAATGTCTTAGACATATTCTATGCTCAATTTGTTCAAAAATCTCCTCAAATAAACTCACAAGTCCCTGAGAACATAAATAAACAAACAATCAAACAAATGGAACTTTGATAACCTTAAACAAACAAATAGTCAAACAGTCATAACATTTTGTACCTTTTGATGAGCTGAGATAAAAACATACTTTATTTCTTTACCAATGTCTTCCATAAGTAATTGTAAAAACCATTTCCAATTATCCTTTGTTTCAGTCTCCACTACATAAAAAACTAAAGGGTAGTATTGGTCATTTGGATCCCTAGCCACGACCACCAAAAATTGCCCATCATACTGTGTGATGAAGTTGTCAATCCTATAAAGGATCCTCTATGAAGGTATAAAGTTTTCAATCCCACAAAAGATCCTCTATGAAATTTTAATGACGACAATGTCAACAGTTATAATAAAGACGGTGGTAATAGCTTTTAACCCTCTGATGATGGTGACCTAACCATACAAACATCTCATGCCTCATCAACAAAAAGAGACTCAAGATTAAAGGGCTTATATGATAGGTACATCTATAAAAATTCTTGGGAGGTTCATATTAATAAAAGAGAGGAAGTGTGAAAGCTCGCTAAATCGTGTCTATTTGTTCATCTGAGTGACCCGAGTTTTGTAAAAGTAAGAAAGTGATTAGGAAGTTGTCCAATCCATTTCCAAATATTTTTTGAACTAACTAAAATTCTAGTATACAGATAACAATTGTCCTAACACATGTTGAGACAATGATCTCTGTTAAACATCACATGGACAAAATACAACAAGTTGATATAAGCCTTATCAGTTCAAAGTCGTAACAAATGTTCCAACAACTTATACGACATGTCAATCAATCAAGAAACAAAACAAACCAATGCAGAAAGAAAAATAACACTAAGATATGATGACCCATTTTAGAAAATCACACTTACCCTGGGGGATACCAAGCCAGGAAGGAAGTCCACTATCAGCAGTATTAGTTCAAAGATAAACTCCCTGGTTTATAACTTCTCGCCTAATCCCTACCTAATACAATTTCTACCTAGGAACATCCTACATATGAGAAATCAACATCCCACTTCCTAAATCACCTCAGTGATATCTATCAACCATAAAGTTCAGTCAAGACACTTGACTAACAAACAACACTTGGATTTGCTTCAAAGCTTCATCCAAGAACAATATACATTCAATGCTTAAGAGCTTAAGAATGAACAACATAGCATTATAACTCTATAACATCAGTCATACTTTCATACAAATGTGGTATTCGAGAGGCTCACATATACCAACTCTCATAGAGAATGGCTTACAAACTTAACCCTAATAATTTAAAATTTTGTATTTTCGGCCAGTACCTTTTCTAGGTTAATAACCTTCTATTTGTAACCATCTTCTGGATTAGATTGGGCTTTAAAAAGAAGCAGATGATTTGTAGAAAATAAAGTTTATTTCATCTTGAATCTCTTCAATCTTCAAACTGTGTGCCACATAGGATTACACAATATTCCATAATATTCTGCATCTAAAATATATCAATTAAATCCAATTGTACAGCTTATCACAGGCGCGATGTCGAATGAATCTTCATAGGACATCTTCATTCGACATGTTTGTCTCTATGCATGATAGACCATCTTGAACAACATCTCTGATTTCTTCTTCTTGGACACAACATACGATCACCAAATGTTCCTAGAATGTTCAGTAATTAACAAACACCAACTGAATTCAACATGTCAGCTGTAGCAGACCAGATGTCTTATGTTTCTGGTTAGGACATCATATTCGACATGTTCAAACAACAAGTTGAAACATCTTCCAAACTGCAAAACTATAAAAAACCATATGTTCTGCTCTTCTGGTTAGGACATCGCATTCGACATGTTGAAATTGCAAGTTGAAACGTCTTCTAAACTGCAGAACTGTAATAGACAAGATGTTCTATACTTCTGGTTAGGATATCACATTCGACATGTTGAATCTTCAAGTTGAAACATCTTGTTCAACATGGTGCTGCAAAGTTAGTTTTACCAAAATTCATGCCAATCATAATTTCAGAGAAATAACAATATCCCCCTTTGGAAAATTTTGGCTAAAACAACCAAATAATCCTTGCTCATAAAACACAATCATTATGTTTGAAAATAAGAGAGAAACTATATTCTCAACATGACAGGACATCATGTTTGATAACTCTTCAAAGCACTCCAATCCAGAACAGTACGGACTCCCCCCCAACACCTGCAAGCACATCAGAGAATTATAAATTCCCCCCTCAATAATAGCACCAACACCGTCACATACGACATCACCAGCACCGTCACATACTACTGGGAAAAAAACGGTTGAACTGTCATCGGATAAAATATCAATGAAGTCGTCATCGAACATCTTTTATCCCAATAGGAAGGGAAAGGTAGACATCGAGAAAACCTGAAAGGGTGAAATCACGGTCTTGCGGTTGAGAGATCGGATAAGGGAATATGTTACGTGAGGGGAAGGTATTAGCACCCCACACGGTATCCACTCTTGTTTGGTCTAATCTAAGGGTGTGAAAAATCCATGTCTAAGCTTAAAAGCTAAAAGGGAAATATGCAAGAGGGAAAGAGTGCATAAGAAAAGAGAAAATAATGTAGGGAAAATAAAAGTTGTGCTCGTTCAGGCCCTACCCCAATACCTATGTATCCCTTTTAAATAATCAGAGCAGCCGTAGTTCGGCTCATATATTTTGGTTGGTTTGTGTTTTTTTAGTTAAGAAGACAAAAGTAACAATCAAGATAGCAAAACATCAGATAAAACGACAAAACATTAACAACAATGATAAAGAAACAAAAAAGGGATGACAAGACATCGCATGGTAACACAAATTCATATAAGATGATAAAATGTCAGCATGATAGCACAATACCAGACAACTCGATGAAATATTACACCTAACAATGATATCGAAAATCAAAGTAGGATGACAAACATGCGCGATGGCGAAATATTAGCAACAAACATATGCGATGGCGAAACATCGGCGAAAAACATATGCGATGGCGAAACATCGGCTACAAACATATGCGATGGCGAAACATCGGCTAAAAACATATGCGATGACGAAACATCAGCGAAAAACATATACAATGGTGAAACATCAGCTACAAACATATGCGATGGTGAAACATCGGTTAAAAACATATGCGACAGTGAAACATCGGCTACAAACATATATGATGGCGAAACATCGACGGAAAACAATTGTGATGGCGAAACATCGGATAAAAACATATGCGATGGTGAAACATCGGCTACAAAGATAGCATGGTAACATGGCAAAGATGGCGAGGTATCACAATTCAGATGAAAAAACATCACACCTAACAATGATATTGAGAATAAAATTAGGATAACAAACATGTGCGATGGAGAAACATCGGCGAAAAGATAACAAAATATCATGGCAAGGATGGCAAAACATCAATTTGACAAGGTTTAAAACAAAACCAAAAGGCGCACAAACAATTAAGATTGGTTTGTATTTTTTACTTCGAAGAAGGATTTAAGTTCATTAGAGACATTTTTATGATTTGCCACGAGGAAGTTTTAGTTTTAAGGTGCAATATGCAAACAAAGGAAAAATAACTAAGGGAGACTAGCCTAGTACTACCCCTAATGTTACATACAATGATTAAACCTAAGGTTCAGGATGAAAGAGGGAAGTTTCTACCCTATGTCAGCATGCATGGATATCTATCCTAATGTCTATCTCGAGGACTAACCCTACACGAGCAACCCTAAGGGAGCATAGTATAGCAAACAAATAAGAAATCAGGTGTTTTGGCAAAAACACACAACCATGAGTATCATATATTGACTCAAAAGGATGGAGGGAATCAAGAGAAATGCTTTAGCCAAGGGGAGCAGATCACCCGAAGCAAACAAGGGGGAGACATATGAAATAAGAAAAATGTGACGTCCAAAGCGACTAAGCACCTAACCAAGATATAAAAGATCGATGTAGGCAACAGAAGACAATATGAACAATCACAGAGTGTTAGCATCGGCATATGCGAACTCCTTACAAAGCGTGGGGGTTTGATTGCAAAACCTTTCCCCACTTGACGGGCTCAATGTACAAGATCGGCACAACTCCAAATTATCGAAGTACCACGTGAGCTAAGGATGACACATACTAGAATGTGCGAGGGTCTATTACAGACCCTCCCCGCTCGCCTCCTTTTGAGGGCTTATCACATGTAATATAATGCGGACAAAATATAAACACACGTGCATAATACCTACTTCCAAGGTAGGATTTTAAACAAACACAATTAGCATACAGAAAAAGGTACCTGCTACATGACTTTAAACAACAACTTCGAGCGCACGCTCTTTATTTCCTACTTCCTACTTCACATGAGTTCTAGAAAGCAATAAACATCCCTACTATACATGATCTCTAAAAAGTGGTAAAATGCATTATTTATAATATTTACAACAATAATGATTTGAATGTGTACCAAACAGATAAAACAATTCCGTATACAGCAAACTCTACAACAAATATCTGAAATCTTCTGCAAAAGCTCCAAAATCTAGCATCGATAAGAGAAAGCGTCAGAAGTATGCACAACAAGTGCAAGCAAGCGCATCCATTACCAAAGCGGTCAATGTCCGAATTTTCTTCTTAAGGCATGCACAACTCACCAAAATGGTTAGCAAATAACAATATAATTGAAATACAAATTGTAAGTGAGAAACAATGATTATAAGTAAGAATTATTATGTATAATACAAAATGAGCAAGTTGCTTGAACATAGTATGACATTTCCGGACAATATTGTATTAGTATCAGAAAGAGTACCAAAATTAGCATGGAAGCGGAAGAAATGAGATTAGATATAAGTATGAATATGAATGGTAAAATGGTAAAAGGGAACCATGTTTAGATGCTAATAGCAATACTCCAGACAGTCACACCATATTCAAGTAATTAAACTCAAAAAGGCGGTAAAAACGCATATGTACAAGTTAACGGTATCAACAAAACGCGGTATTTACATAAAATGGTAATATCTGGAATGTCAACATCCAATGTACAAGCTACCAAGTTAGTTGGTATGCTACAAGTTAGTATATTTACAAACTAGGAGGGAATGTTATCACAAACCGAAATTAGTGCAAAATGGTATTTTTCAAG